CACAGCTCTGAGATCTAAATAGTCAGAAAGAAATAAGAAAAGTGAAATCAATATATATATATATATATGTCTAATATCTAGAAAAACAAATACTATGGAGGCAAAGTAGCTAACCATCAAAGCCTCCAATATGTTTGCCATTCACAAACACTTGTGGAACAGTGCTTCGACCTATCAAATCCAGAAGGACATACTAGATTTTACCTCCATCGTCTAAAACAAAAACTCCACAAGTCAACACGTCATCTAAAATTACTCTTTTTCTACTCACGCACACACATACAATAAATGAATCAGAAGCAGATGAATAATATCTACATAGATACCTCGGAGATCAAGCTCTACAACATAAGGTTTCTCATTTAGCTCATTGAAAATCCTCTTGGCACGAAGGCAATACCTACGAACAAGACAAAAGCGAAAGAATTAGGAGCATTCCATCATATTATCTAATCATAAAACCCCCAAGAATTGAAGTTTCAATTATACTTTTGAAGAAATACCCATGAAGTCAAAAAGTCGAAACAAGATTGATTACGCTATCCTGATTCTAAATCATGAACATTGAAAGGTTGAAACAAAACTGTAAATGTAAAAGAAATGGAGAAAAAATGGCATACGGGCAATAGGATTTAGAGAACATAACAATCTTGTTGGAGAAGATGGCGTTTTGGAGAAAAGGAAAATGGAAAAAGAGAAAAAGGGGGAAGAAGCAGCGTGAACTGATAATTATCGAGAGGGAAGAAGGGGGAAATGATGAAAATAATGAGGGGGAAATTAGAATACGACTCCTAAAGATGACACACAATTAAAAGTGTACTGCGTGTTTTTGTAAATTTTTTGGATTATGACTATTAAATATGACACACATTATTGTAAGTCATAAATCGTTCAGATTTTAAAAATCATGACATTTTTTTATGACACACATGTTTTGCAAGTCATAAATTAGCTTGTTTCATCGTTCGTGTGTCATTAAAGGTATATTTTCTTGTAGTGTAAGTCTCACTACGCTTTAGAATTAATATTTTGTTTTCAAATGCTTCTACTACCAAATTTCTCAAAATTTCATATTCAGGTAGTTTGCACTATATTCAAAGAAATATTATTCTGTATCAATCTACATACTTAAAATTATTCCATTAGTACCAATGAAAACTAGACTCGAATAAGAATCTAACCATATAAGGCACTTCTTGTAGTTCAACTTGTACGATTAATAGCAAGTTTTCAAAGTTAACTGACATAAGCTGTTTTGAGCAGAATCTACTGCCCTACTTACTAGCCTATCCTCAATTAAAAATTCATATCTTTTTGTATACATCTCAAAATCAATATCCATTTGATCTAAACAAAACTAGATGATATGATCCCGGATATGTGTTCTGAGTCATATATGATGTTACCCGATCGTGATTCTAGTAAGAACTGCGCAGTGCTTTGATTAAAGACTGAAAATGCACAAACAACGTTACAAGAAAGAAATTGATATAAGTAAATTGAAAATGAAAGGTTGTAGGTTATGATAAAGTGGTTTGAAGGTGATGGAAGAGTGATGGTTGTTGTGGTTTAATGAAATGAAGGAAAGTGGGGAAAGTGTAGTGGTGATAATAATTTATAGTGTGGAAAGAATGGAAGTATGGTGAAGTTAAAAGATGTTATGGCGTGAGAGATGAATGATGAAATAAAAAGAACGGATTGTGACCCGCTAGCTATATGGATCTAGGAACCAACAATATACAAAGATGGAATCGAAGTGATAGAGGGTGGAACGTGACCCACTAGCTATAGGTGAGCTAGGAACCAACGTTATAAAAAAATGAAATGGATAAAGCTTCAAGATTGACAAGAAACCGATAGAGTTCTAGTTCAATAACTAAATGAAAGCAACCTTTCAAAGAGTATATTAAGCAAAAAGTTTTAAGTACAAATTCCATGGAGGTGCCTATTTATAGTATTGATAGGCACCATATGAAGAGTTTTTACAATTAAAATAAAACAATCACCTAAATTCAATTGAATTCAATTAAATGACTTACCCTTCTTATTCTTTGATGACTGGCCATGTAGATTGAAAATGTATGGATTAAGCTTTAATTTGAGATAATTCTAGCCTTAAATTCGTCCAAAAAGGAAGGGTGACTCTTGGGCTGCCTTGCTTTTCTTGCAAATGGAAGAAAATATGATAAACGAAGTCATAGGATGAATATAGACATCCTACATGTCCAAATCAGCTTGTCTCTTCAAATTCCTTGATGATTTTATCACTTATTTTCGTGGTTAAATGAAATAAAATCAGTCTTCATTGCTTGTTCCCTTGTAGAATATGATCAGCCTTCAAAAGATGATAAAGGCATTGAATGCTAAGTTTTGAATGCTGGTTATTGCATGTCCCCTTGCTTGAACGTGAATGGCCTTCAATGGGTGATAACATCAACCTTGAATGCCTTGAATTGGTGAATTAAGATGGCCATCAATTGCTTGTCTCTTGGTAGAAGATGAAAGGACTCTTCCTTGGCTCAAACTCATCCAAATCATCCTTGTATAAAATTCCCGTAATGAAAATTCCAGCCTGCATTGTCTTCAGTAAATCGATCATATCTCAAGCTCCCGTTATCGGATTGAGGTGATTCAAAAGGCGTTGGAAAAGCTAAGAAATAGAGGAATAATGTAAAAGTGTTTTATGAACCCAAAAAAGTATCACATCTAGAATTAGAAGACATTCTGACTAATATTCTTGCATCTGTTGAAACCGTTCAACTTCTCTCATGCACCTAGACACAAAGGTGAACTTTATTCAATCTTTAATTGAAAACATGCATGAAACAATTAAGAGTTAGTCTAATAAATGAACTAGTTTGATGAATGAACTAGTTTAATTAATGAACTAACTTTATTCAATGAACTAGATGCGTGAATGAAGTAGCTTACTAAATGATCTAAATATGCATAAATGAACTACTTCCCTAAATGAACTAGATGCTTTAAATGCAATGCATATTTAAATGAACGAAACACTTATTAAATGCAATGAATGTCATGCAACTAATAAAACTCATGCAAATTCATGCAATGAATGATATCATATGATAAGCATATCCTAAGAGGTAAATACAAACATATGATAAAATATAGTGCATAAATGAGCAGGTATAGGATGAAGTAAGGTAGAACTCCCTTTGAATCAGCCTTGGTGAACTTCAATGATTTAATCGGACCAAGATGAAAGTTAGGGTTGATTAGGATCACATCACTAGACTAATATACAAATCCAATGGTATAAAATTCATCATATAATTATTTTTGTGTAATTTATGGTGAATTTCTAAACCTATTGTTCGAATCACAATTTCTAAACAACTTTACCTAATTAGCATCCTTAACTCAATTCCATAATTCTATAAGCTTATTAAATGAGCCTAGAGGCTAGAATCATAATTCACATAACATTAGGAGTCACTACTTACCGTAGTAACTTCGTCATTGGCTCATCGCAAGCCAATATTTTTTGTGATAACATGAATACAAATTAAATGCACTCACTTGGTGTCCTTAGCTTGCAAACTTCCCTTAGAATTTCACATTCCATCCTTAAGCTTTTCCTTAGCTTTAATATTGCTTGATTTTGATTTCAAGCACACAATCTAAATGAGCATCATTACAAACATATTCAAATTCAAACCACATGTTAGAATCTTACTAACATAGGCACACAATAGCAAATAATTTCCTAAAAATTCTTTCGTTGCTCATTCGATACTAACTCCATGTCACAACATAATTGTTGACCATAACACTTCAAATTGACTATTCAAGTTCCTTTTTATCCAAATTTCACATAACATTTTCACTTAAATTCCCAACTTTTCCATATTTATGATTTAAGCCTCAACTTTTACCAACTTCCTAAAATAATCCAATTTCACATTCTAACATCAATTTCCATACTCAAACATTAATTTCCAGCATACTACATCAATTATTGCACATTTACACGTTAACCCATAAATGTCGAATAGGTACCCCAATTTTCCAAAAATTACAAAATGGTCCCCAAATTTTTCTAAGGCTTGTAGAATACTTCCTACATCATTTCCAGCCCCTACATAATTTTTCCAAAATTTTTCTCATCCTCCTTAGTGTAGGCCGAATACTTTGAAAATTCAAGACTTGGTTTTTCATGATTTTACTCGATTTTGATCCGATTCGAGCATGAAATCAACCTCTATTCAACCTTATAAAATCTCTACAATCAAAGCCCTAATCAAATTTCATCATAACATAAACTTCCCTAAATTAGGGTTTAGGCTAAAACCTCATCAAAGTATTTCTAGGAAGTTTTGATCATCATACAAACTTGGAAACGATTCTACGACCACAAAAACATCAAAATTCAGCATCAATTCCATAAAACCTAATATGAACATAAACCCTAGAATTTGGGATCTTTGAACACAAGCAAGATTAGTATGCAATAATGATACCAAATGATAGCGTTTTTCGAATAAAACAATTTTTAATTTCACGGCTTGATCCAAAATCCAAAGAAAATTACTCAAAAATGAAAAATAAAATTTCTCTTACCTTAATTGGCTTAAATGAATATAAAATTCATTTAATGAAAAATGTCCATTTTACCATTAATAAAACTTGATATTTACCTTCATACCAAGCTACATAACTCTTATCATCTTTATAAATTCAAATATAAACAAATTATTTTACCCTTTACAACTTTGCCCATGCCATTTTCCAAAAATTTCAATATTGTCATTTTCATCAAACGGTCCAAATTGAACATGGAAATAAATTATCAAATTCAATACTCCATATTATTTTCCATCATTTTAATATGTGTAAATAATATATCTAAGCTTAATTTAATGCCCTTCAAATTTACTTAAAATTTTTATTCGATCCGATTTACCGAATTTTTACAAGACTTTAACACTTACAAGCAACCATTGTCAAAGAGAGACAAATAAAACAGCCACTCATACCTCAGCTTTTGTATGACCGAAACATGCTTCGACACGAAATCACAACATTTCTCAATAAAATCATAGCAAGACGAAAGGAGCAATTCAGCTATATATCCTTCCACCTGTTTTATGTCCATAAAATTTATTAATCAGTAAAACGAAAACATGAATAATTCACGTATTCAAACAAGTCTGCGGAAACATATCCAAATCATATAAAAAAATCACCCTGCCGAAAGCATTAATATCCAGTCCATTAGCGAGCAAATCAGCTATATCTTTCTTCAAAAACTTAAGCGTCGCGCTCCTTTTCCTCCGTATCACATCAATCCGACTTTTTATCACTTTAATCAATGATTTACTGGACGAAATAAAATTCTTCAAATCAATTTAAGTATCCAACAAAACTAAAAAAGCGAACAATTAATTTAAAGAGAAAGTAAAAAACCTTTTGAGGCAAAACCACGGCCTTAGATTCCGTCCAGCATCTTCGATCACTGATTTACTCAACTCGGAGGAACGATTCGTCTCAAACAATTCAAAACGACGCCGTGAATTCAAAATGTAGATAAAGGGAACACAAGATCTGCCATTAAAGAAGAAGAAGGGAATATGCACTTTGGCTAAGCTTCTTCACTGCCGTTTTCTAAGCCACCTTTTTCATTTTTAAACAAACACTCACCAACAGGTCCACTGTTATCAAAAGGGAATTGCGCAAATTTACACTTATAGCCTTCAACTCTCCATTCAATTTTCCGTGGATCGATCATTTCAAATTTTAAAGGTAAAAATGCATAAAAGGTTCATGTACTTTTAAAAAAACTAATATAGCCCTCGTATTATTCTTTCTCATGAAAATAAACCCAATGTGATCCTTTGACTAATGTTTGTAGTCGTTGATTTTTACGATACTGATGTAGCGATTCATGGTTCTAACATGGCGGTCTACGATGCTAACATGACAATTCATAGTGGTTGATAACGTAGCGAATAACATGACAGATAAGCTGAATTGGTAACTTAAACATGACAAATAGATAGCATATTAGCATTGTGGACCATCACGTCAGCACTGTGAACTGTCTCGTTAACACCGTAACGATCAAGGATAGAAAATGTTGGTCAAGGGCCACATTGGGTTTATTTTACTGAGTTTGAAAGTCACATTGAGAGAAAAAATAATACGATTGCCACATTGGTTTTTCCAAAAACACAAGGACCTTGATGTCTTTTTGCCAATTTTAAAAAATGTGAGGGTAGTTCGTGGGAATTAACCGTTTCCAATTTGGTGCCGCGAAGGCTGTAAGTGGGGTATATCGTGACCGTTGGATGAGAGCAGCGAATCGAGGAAGATTTGCTTTACTTTGTTCTAATTACGGTTTTAGTCCTTTTACCACTAAAATTAAGGTTTAATCTCTTTAATTTAAGGTACGTTTGATAAAGTTTTCTAAAAGAAGTTTTAGTTAAAAAAAAAGTTCATTTTTCAGTAAAATTAATGTCAAATGGATAAAATGAAAAAAGAGTCCAATAAAAACGGTGGTTTCAAACCAACCGTAAAGACTAAGATTTCTAAATTTTTCATTTTCAACTTTACGTTTGAAAGCAAATTATAATTTTACAATTACTAAACATGAATTCCAGTCAATTATGTATTTATATTTTGTTTTAATAATTTAATACTAATCACTTTAAAAAATAATTTATTTTAATAATTTAAAAATAAATAAATCTATAACTTATATATTAAAATATTAATAGTGAATTATATAAAATATATTTTTATTATAATTATATTTTTTGTTTGTATTTTTTATATTTTTATTATAGTTTAAATTGATTAATTCATATATAATAATATTTTTAAAATTTATTATAGTTTAAATTATACGATTCATATATAATTTTAAATATAATTTAAATGTTATATTTTTAATTTACAATATAACGTATATAATGGAATTTATCTTTTCAAACTCACTATTTAACAGTAATCCCAAATAATTAAATTATAAATTGCACTATTGTACAATACTTTTAAAAATTCGTTTCTACAGTACTTTTAAAAGTCATATTTTCAAAAGTTATACTAAACTAGACCATAGCAAAATTTAGTTACACTTCTTTTATAAGGCTTAATATTGCTTAAATTATACTTAAAATTAACTTTTGGTGTCTAAAGAATTTTTTTACTAAAAATAGCTGCATAATGTTTTCTTCGTTACACTTTTAGGTACCTACTATTAAAAGGAAAATCGTTAAGTGACGTGTCACTTTTATATATTTTTAAATAAAAAATTTATAAAAAAATTTAAACATGACACAAGTCACTTAACGTTTTTTTTTAACGATGGACCCCAAAAGTATAATGGAAAAAACATTAGATGTTTATTTTTAATGAAAAATTCTTTATACATCAAAAAATCAAATTTGAGAATAGTTTAGGAGCTTATTTTTTATATTAAGCCTTTATAATATTATTATATGAAAAAATGAAAATCCTAGGTGAAAGTATGTGTCAGGTCCCTATCAGGGTCGGCTCTGGGCAGGGGCAAGATGGGCACCCGCCCAGGGTCCATAATTTTAATTTATATTAATTTATTATATTTTAATAAATTAAATTAAAAATAGGACCCATAAATATTAATATAATATTTTCTTAATTAATGCAAGAGGGCCCATAAACTTATTTTACTTATTTTCTCATAGTCATTGTTAAAAACTATATTAATATACTAAATTAAAAGTAGGGCCCATAAATATTAATAAACTAAATTAAAAGCGGGCCCATAAACTTATTTCTTATTGACTTATTGTTCTCATAGTCATTATAACGTTAAAAACAGGGCCATAAATATTAATAAACTAAATTAAAAGCAGGGCCATAAACTTATTTGACTTATTATTTTCATCCTAACGTGTATGTCTGGGTTAATCATAATGTTTATTACAGTTACTTTTTATTTCCTATAAATGATAGGAGAACATTGAAGTAAAATTAACTTATTTCTTATTGTTCTCAATTTTCAATTTCTCATATTTCTCACGATTCACAAACACAAAATCACAATTACTTATCATCAATTGTGGTCATTGAATATATTTTTAAAATCCTAAGTAAGTTCGTGTTTCCAAATTCTTTTTATTTTTATTTTTATATATTTCTAAATTATAGATAAACTTATTCTCTTTTTTTGTTTCATAAATTTTGGATATAAAATGTCAAATGGATATGCAAATACTTCATTTCCTTCTAAGTTCAATCATTACGGTGTTGCGAATTTGGCGTATAAATACTTCGATCGAGGATCTTCCCATTTACAGTTGTATGTTCTTTTCTACATTAGTTGCATTGTTATATAATGTTTCCTAAAAAACATTTGTCTGGTAGTGAAAAAAGAAAACAAATAGATGATTTAATAGAATCACAAAAGGGAGCTCTTGATAAATTCTTTAAAAGTGGAGTAGGAGAGCCTTCTAATGAAAATTTAAATGATATTGCTGGGAATTTAAATAATCTTGATAGTTGTTCAAATCTAGGTGTTACTATTGCAAATTACCATGATATCCTAAATCATATAGATGGTGACATTTCTAATTTAAATGTCCATAATCATGCACAAAATGAGTCTAATGTTGAAGATGTTGGGATTGACCAACACATAGTCCCTGCTGTGGACATTTATGATCCTAGAAATTGGAGTAATCTTGATAATAAATCTAGAGATATTTTAGTTGAAAATTGGCCTATAAGAGAACTGAATTTGAAATTTCCCTTAGCCAATAATTCTAGGCATTTTTCATATGCTTATTTTTCTAGAAAGTTGAGTAATTGAGAGATTACCGATAGAAAATGGTTGGTCTATTCTAAACATGTGGACAAAGTTTTTTGTTTTTGTTGTAAATTGTTTACAAAGCAAAACAATAAGGGTTATTTAGCAAATGATGGATTAAATGATTGGAAGCATCTTAGTGAGAGACTCGAACAACATGAAAATAGTATTGAGCATATGACTAACATGAATATTTGGAGTGAATTAAGAGTGAGATTAAAAACTAATCAAACACTTGATAAAGGTTTACAACAAGGAATTTCAAAAGATAAAGAACGTTGGAGGCAAGTTTTAATAAGAATAGTTTGTGTTGTAAAATGTCTAGCTAAAAATAATTTAGTTTTTCGAGGATCTAGTGAGAAAATCTACGATGAGAATAATGGAAACTTTTTAGGATTAATTGAAATGAATGCTGAATTTGATTTGCCTATGCAATACCATATTAAATGTATTCAAAATGAAAATATTCATTATCATTATCTTGGTCATAACATTCAAAATGAACTAATCTCTCTCTTGGCCCATAGTATTAGAACTTCTATTCTAAAGATCATCCAGAAGGCAAAGTATTTCTCTGTTATTCTTGAATGTACCCCTGATGTAAGTCATCAAGAACAAATTACTCTAATAGTGCGATGCGTAAATATGTCAAACAACAAAGTAAAAATAGAATAGTACTTTTTAGAGTTCTTGAAAGTGGATGATACATCTAGATTGGGGCTTTTCAATGAATTAGTAAATACACTGCAATCTCTAGAGTTGAACGTTGATGATGTGAGGGGCCAAGGATATGACAATGGTTCTAATATGAAAGGAAAACACCAAGGTGTTCAAAAGATATTGCTTGAAATAAATCCTAGAGCTTTATATATGCCATGCGCTTGTCATAGTCTTAATCTTTCTCTTTCTGATATGGCACATTCTTGTGTTAAAGCTATTTCTTTTTTTGGGATTGTGCAACGTATATATTCATAGTTCGCAAGTTCTACCAAAAGGTGGAAAATTTTATGTGATAATGTTCCGGAAACTGTGAAATCTTTATCTAATACCCGATGGGAAAGTCGAATTAAAAGTGTCAAAGCTATTAAATGTCATGCTCCTAAAATAAGTTTAGCTTTGTTACAATTATATGAATATTGTGGTAATGATGCAAAAGCAAAAAGCGAAGCAGAAAGTTTAGCTAGTGCCCTTTAAAGTTTTAAATTCTTACTTGGAATGGTTATCTGGTATGATATTTTATTTTCTATCGACATGGTAAGTAAGAAATTACAATCTAAATCAATGTGCATTGAAATAAGGGGTTCGAAGCTATTATAGATATTGCTAAAAGTCTTGCATTAGATATGAACATAGAGCCAATTTTTCCGACTAAGCATCGTATTTTTAGAAAAAGAAAATTTGATGAGAATGACCATGATGAAGAAATGCAATCAGCATAGGAGTCTTTTAAAGTTAATTATTTTTTTGTTGTTGTTGATATGGCGGTCACTTCTTTGAAAGATAGATTTGAGCAGTTAAAGATTTTTGAAAATTATTTTGGATTTTTAATGGATTCTATAAGGTTGAAGTCATTGGATGACAATAAATTAAAAGAATGTTGTAACAATTTTAAGATTATTTTTTCTCATAATAATTTGTCGGATGTTGATGCAGAAGATTTTTTTTTCTGAAATGAAAGTGTTGCAATTGACTTTGCCAAATATATTCATGTCAGCGCTTGAAGTTCTTAAGTTTGTTAAAGCTAGAGATTGTTATCATAATGTTTCAATTGCTTATCGAATCTTATTAACAATGCTGGTAACAGTAGCATCCGCGGAAAGAAGTTTTTCAAAGCTGAAATTATTGAAGAGTTACTTGAGGTCAACAATGTCACATGAAAGATTGAATGGGCTAGCTATGTTATATATTGAGAAAAATATGTTGGAAAGCATTGATGTTAACACTATCATCAATGATTTTGCATCAAGAAATGCTCGAAGGCAATGTTTTTTATAAGTATTTATATGCTTAAATATGATTTTGACATTTTTGATATTGTAATGAATTAATATTTATTTAATTTAATTAAAATTAATTAAAATTTTATATTGCATATTTTTTAATATTCTTTTAAATTAGAGCCCATTTTTTTAATTTTGCCCCGGGTCAAGAAAAAGTCAGAACCGGCCCTGGTCCCTATGTGATAGGAACCGATTCAATTGAGTCTATGTAGTACATAATAGATCAATATAGTCTCTTTACTATGGGAATGGTTCAAATTAGTTATTTGATTTAGCATCCAGATGAGGTATTGATTTAGTGATAGAAAAACTATTTTTGAGAATTTTAAAGTTTTAAGTTTACATTCCTTATGTGTGTGAATTTAGTCCATTCAATTATTAATCTATATATTTAATTCGGTGTTTGTAATAATCAACTTTGATCATGTGATTGTAAAATTTAATTTAAAACAGTAAAAGATAATTAGTAATTTCAATAATAACAATAATTGAGTTGGTCAGCTAGGTTAATCTCATTCATATAATAGTTTGGTTAGGTTAAGTCCCATTCCTAGAATTTGCAATGATTCATCACTCATACTGACATTTTTTATTTAATGAGATTTTAAGTTTTTATCAATTTTATTTTTAGTTAAATTAAAAAATAAATTTTTAAGATTAAATACTCAATAAATTTATATTATTTTTTAATTTAAATAATTAATATTCAATATTAACTCCACCTTTGAAATATGAAATGACTTTATTTTCTATAATTTCATAATTAATTTATAAAATTATCATGATTTTCAATTGAAACTAATATACGCATAGTATGTAGTAATACGAACACCACATATTTTTATGAAATGTGTTTTATGTTGCAAACCACTTAAACATAGAATGGAAGAAAATATGAGCTTCGAATTGCAAAATGTACACTATTAGTTGTTCCACTCCGTAACCACCAACCTGCCACTACTAATCAGCCTGTCTTTACAACAAATCACATTACTATGACAATTAACATTATAGTAATAGGAAATATTCACACTTCCGAACACCATACTTATCCTTTGGTAATCAAAACACCATACTTACCGAGAAGGATATCATGCCTTGGTTGACAAGGCAACCATGTGCTCACAGCATCTTAATGTTGAGCATTTTGTTTTGCATGTCGACAGACCCACAACGATAATCAAGATGGTTGTGCCAACTCATCTTTATAATATATTTATCATTTACAATTATAATTTTTAACACCATAATTTTAAAATATAATATTTTTTTAAAAATCAAATCACAATATCCATAACTACAATTTCATATCGTAGCCCAAATTTAATACTATGGTTTACACACGAAAATGAGTGTTGCTTCTTCCTACATAAGATGATAGTTGTTGATACGAAGTTTAGGGTTGGGTGGTTATGTCCATTTCTAGAGATGCTAAAGTGAACAAGGTCTCCCTAGTCCATAGTGCTCCCCATCTATCCACCTAGGTCATGCTTTAAATTATGTTACTTTCAATAAATTATCTTATTCATCTTTCAATTTTTAAAACAATTTTATTTTAATAATAAGTCTTACAATTTTATTACCATTGTTAAATTAATATCTTATTTTAACCATTCGGTCATTGAATTTCTAACCTCAGTTGATATGATCTGTATCCCATCAAAATAAAATTATTTTAACCATCTTCAGGAACCGACAAACTTTTTTAGCATTTAAGCTATCATTTCCGTAGAGGTGTAAATAGGACATCTATCTTCGTTAACTGATATAGTTCAATTAAAAAGAAAACTGAACTTGATTTGGTAATTATCAAAAAGCTCAAACAAGTACGTCGAATTTGAGCACTAAAATACCCAACTTGAATGGCCGGCGAGCCTAATCAAGTCTTTAAAATTGTATATATTTTTTCATAATATTAAATTATGTCTATGCCTTTATCGAATAAGAATGAGCTTAATTGGGATTGAATTGAGTTTTAGTATAAAAAATGGTAAACAAGTTTAACCAACTGCAAGAAACTAGCAATGTGCTTTCAATATTGAAAAATGGGAATATTTACAACTAGGAAATCAACAAATTATTAGCGTTTCTTTCCTTAATCATAATTAGATTAGTGAAATCATGATGATGATAGAGTTGGTGCGGTGAAGTCCATGAACTCGAGGGGCTCAGCCCTCCACTCAAGCTCAATATCTTCAGCTGCCCTTTGAGCAACGTAGGAAGCACCGAGCAAGCCTCGTCTTGTAAACCCTACAGCATATAACCCATCTTCTCCTTTCCATCCCTTGGGAAATGGCTCCCTTGGCATCCCATCTTTCTCTGAAAACAAATCTGTTCCCTTCAACCACTGCGCTACATTACTTTTGTAGCCAGTCGCCAGAAAGATGGCATCAAACCTCTCTTTCCTTCCGTCCACAAACTCCGCCCCATGGTACGTTATTCGTTTTATTCCCGGATAAACCTAATACGTCATTCAAGAGGAATTTAGTTCAATTAACAGCACACATTATATCAAAGATTTGTATACAATACCTTAATGTTTCCACTCTTGATCTTTGCTATTGTCCCAACATCCAAAACAGGTGTCTTGCCGGATATGCTCTTGAGTTCTAGGGGACCAACTTTTGGAGGATGGAAACCCAATTTTTCGGTATCTCCGAGCACGAAACTCGACACGAGGAGCACTAACCGATCGATGAGACGAATGGGGAACCACTTGAGCATCCACATGAGCAATCCAAATGTTGATATTCCGAGCATTTCACGAGGCAAGACGTGCACCTGCAACAATGACTATTAAAAAAGGGGCTAAACAAGAGATGATTATTAGAAGAAAGAAGCAATGGTTACCGAATCTCGAACGACGAGTGATGTGCGAGCATTGAAGTTGGCAAGATCCAAAGCAACTTCCATGCCGGAATTCCCACAGCCAACCACCAAAACATCCTTCTCTCCATACGATCTCCCGTTTCTGTAGGAGCTTGTGTGAAGTATAGGCCCATCAAAATCATCCACTCCTTCGATGAAAGGAATCACTTCATCAGCATTCTCCCCAGTGGCCACAATGAGCCACTGCGACACATACTCAATCTGTTCTTGTTTCAGCCCCGAGGCGACGACTCGCCAAACCCCATATCGATTATCAAACTCCGCACTCACTACAGTTTTATTAAAAACGGGGTCTAAATCAAAATGGTTCTTATAAGACTCTAAATATTCCAGAAATTGGAATTTGGTCGGATAAGAAGGGTAATCGAGGGGGAATGGTAGGAAGGGGAGATCACAAAATTTCTTTGGAAGATGAAGGCAAAGACGATCATAGGTTTTCAGGTTCCACAAGGAAGCTATGCAATCAGCCCTTTCGAGGATTAAGCTAGGGATACCTTTCCGTTTGAGACAAGCAGCAGTGGCTAAACCGGAGGGCCCAGCACCGATTATAATAGGACATGTCACCCACAAGCAACTTGTTGACTTTGTCATTTTTTCTTGTTAACGATGGCGGTGGACACTTTTGCTTCAAGTTAATTAACACTCCATGAGCACCAAAACACCAAAATATAAGGTGCAAAAAACGGATAAGTGATGCTTGAAAATCGGTTTCTGAATGTAGACCGAATATCTGGTGACGATGACGTGTTTTAATCTTATCTATAAACCAGATTCACTGGGGAGAGAAAATGTTTCTGCAAATTCCCGGATTTTTGGAGGGATGATTTGAAAGAGTCCATGAATATCTACAAGCACGATGCGATTGTTATGGTTGAAAAAGCCGAGTATAATATAAAATATTAACAAATGCATTCAGTTACTATTTATTTCTACCGTTACTCATAATCTTAAAAATATTTTACCAGAATAATCAATTATTATAAACTTGTACTGTTGTCCCATAATTTTAAAAATGTTGCATATATATTATTTTTTTAATTGGTGAGTTAATTGTAGCTCCTCCTTATATATAATCCTCTCATTATTATGTAATAATAAAATATAATAAATACAACTATCTTATCCTTCATGTTATAATAAATACATATAAACATAAAACTATATTTTACCGATATCTGATTTAACTCAAAATCCATATCTGATCTCAAATGTATTAACATTTTAGTTTGAGAAAATCAAATTTATTGGTTTAGACATTGATATCCTTTTCTGGCCCATCCGACCACTACTCCAAGTCCCCACATGCAAGGCAACCTCAAAAACATCAACTGGTCAAATCCAACATGTCTCACAATCATGAGTCAAATGGCATCAGTCGAGGATATATATAGATGAGTAAACAAGGAGCTACTAAACAGAGCGAATCACAACTAAATCGTAATCAAAGAGAAAAGATCAGTGTCTCACTGATCCAACCTTTGGTCTCGAACTGAAGGCGGTCCGAAAAACTCACTGCAAATCTCCATGAAAAACTTGTCGACGTAAGCCGGACAGAATAACAATAATGAAGAACCTCTTCAACGTCCATCATCTCTATCTCCTTCACCTTTTTGTGCCACCGAAACACTCTTTTCTCCTCTTATGGTCCTCGTTTTGAACTCATCGATATCCTCTCTTCTTTGAGTTGAAAACCGAGTTGACGACACTATCTTCAGATTCCTTTTCTTTGTTTTTCTCTTCAAACTTTCTTTGTCCTCACACACGCTCCTTTGATGTCTTTGTGTTTCATTATTGGGTCACCAAAGAGTCCCCACTAGACTTAGCCGATGAGCCAACATATTAAAAAAGAGCTCTTAATAATTAATACTACCAAAAGCAATTTGAAAGTTCAGTGATCAAATTAAAAAAATATTAACGTTTAGTGACCAAAACAGGAGTAAGGTTAATGTTGAGAGGTAAAAAGTGTAGTTTATCCATATACTTTAAACCGTGATCTCATTTAGGCAGGCCCAAATGTAGTTGTGGGTTCAAGTTAAAACCACTGGAAGCATACTCTTTCAAGGCTGCCATGTCTGTCAGGCCGATTCATACATACATGCTGTTTTCTGTTCAAGGAAGACAAGAACCACAACATTCAAATTCCATGTTCTGCCTTTGGGAATGTAGTTCTCGTTCAGACAAATAATTCTATGTTATTCTATTCTATTCATGATGTACTTCTCAAACATTCAAACATATTTCAATGTGGTTTTGCCATATATGTACTATTCCATCACATATAATGTCAAACAGAAAATACCCAAAGAGATAAGGGAGAAATATTGCCAAAAAAAAAGAACATAGGTTGGGATGGGCTTAGCTAATAAGGTTAAAGGGCTACACCACCTTGTCCATGGGGTCCCAACCATCACCTAAAAGGCTGGTTTAAAAGCTTTTAACTTGAGCATTATTGACAGTCCATGTATGTCACATGCATTTACTAAATTACTCATATCTCGAAACTCCAAACTAAATAAAATCAAGAATATTATATTTTTTTTGTTGCCCTCCAACTTCAAGGCTTCCCCAATAATACTAAGCGTTCTTAAACTCACAACCTTATATAAATAGTAACGATGTTAACTGGATTAAAATTCATTCAACTAAATTCTAGGACTTTTTAATTGTTAGGAGGTACAAGTCATGGGTCTAAAGAACACATGTTCTTTAATAAGGACTAGAAATATCTATGAAAACAAAATCTTAGAGCCTCTTTCCAAGAAACACCATATATGGTTGTTTGTATGTGTTGGGAATCTACCAATTTGATTAATTCATCATTATTTTTACAATAAATTTCTTGTATTTTTATTGTCCAACATCTTTATCGTAATTTAAATATTCTCTAAACCAACAAAATAAAACTACTACTAACCTTTGGATATTTCGTCCTGCAAATTGAACATTATCGGTTTGAGTTTGAACTTGTAAAAAAGTTGAAACTATAGGTCCAAACAATTTGTAAACCTTCCTATAAACCCTACAACTTAGATGACTCTTACATTTTTTTAATAAAATTCAAGCAATCAACTATCATCATAATCTGGCATGACTCCCCCAATAATATCGATACTAGCTAATGCAACACCATCCTTATAGTGACGTTTGGCCAATCTGCTTTTATAATAACCTCATTAATTATCTCAAATAGTTAGTATTGTTAAATATTCCATTTAAAATACTGTCATAAATATTTGTTAAAAATATATTTGTCGACATAAAGAAGTTCTTTATCAACGTGAAAGGAAGACAATATAAAGAATAAAGAATAAAATTAAAGTATATAAATTAATTTGAAACTAATAGGGGATCAAAACAGAAAAACATGTATAAGGTGATCACGTGCTGAAAATGTTTGAAAGGGAAGTGTGGTTGCTTTGGGTATGGGGCTCAAGAACCCAGAAAAGAAGCAAGAATTAATAAGAATGTTAGGTTGGCAACCCAATGAACAAAGACAAAACAACTATCCCATACTCACCGGTAAAACCATATATTCTTTAATCTGCATTCCAGTTTAAGGAAATTCTGCAGCGAAATTTAAACACTGTAAGGAGCTCATAAATGCCATGTTACATAGCTTTCGAGCTCAAAAGGGACAAATTATAGAGGATAAAAAGTAAAGAGAATGGTGCAGTTACATACCTTTCTGTCTCTTTCCCATTCTTTTTTTCTCCTTTCACTTTGTCTTCCCCCATGAATCTTTTTGGCTTTAGAAAAAGGTTAGGTTTTGTAAGTTGTTAAGATACAACAAATGAATATTTAAACGTCATTTCTCCAAGATAATAAATTTCAGGATAAACCATCTCGACTGTTATTGAATTTTAGGATGTGTGTGGTTCTTATCAAATTTATAATATAAAATTTTAGTTTGAGGTTGAGGTTGAATTAGGGCAACAAATCATCAACGGCGTGAAGAAGTGGTTGCTTATTCTTTGTTAAATCATATTATATTGTGTTGTGTCATGGACATAGGCCTGTAAATGAACTGAACGTTCAGCGAACCGTTCATGAACCGTGCGGTGGGAAGTTCGTTTTATGTGCGTTTATTTATTAAATGAACGAACATGAACAAGATTTTGTGTTCGTTTAATTAAATGAACGAACATGAACATAGGTCTCGTTCGTTCATTTACGTTCGTGAACGTTCGGTTATGTTCGTTTATATGCGTTCAGTTATGTTCGTTTATGTGCGTTCATTTATGTTTAACATAATATTCTTAAATCAATTTTGGTGATCAATTTGTATGTATTTTAAAAATATTAATTAATATGATATTTTGATAACCAATTTTCCTTCATTAACATTCGCTAATAATATACATATTAGGATATGGTTGTGATGTCTGGATCGAAACAGGACCAAGTAGTGAGGTTACCTTCAAAGTGATTTTCATTTGTTTTCCCGCTTAATATTGCAAATAATTGAGACTCCCTGCTTAAATGTAATCAAACGCAATTATTGAAGCTTCAAGGACAGTGTGAGAGCAAATGTTTATTCGTTTCTACTGAGTGAATCACCTTTCGTTTTGGAAAGTGCCAATTACTCTCCTTTTCGACATTTCAAAAAAGTGAAGTGCGAAGACTTTACTTTCCTTAGTCGTCTTTGCTATCATGTCATGTCGGTAAAAGAAATACATGGGCCATGCACAGGCCAATCACTACCGAACGAGTTGCATTTTTTAAAGAAAAAATCCTCTTTTCTTACCAATCCACTACTAAAGAACAATCGAGAAAAGACAAATACCCATTATTTTTATTCCATGTTTGTTGTTTAATGTGAAATTTTGAAAACCTGAAACTGCCCTCGTATTGCTTCTCTCCGATCATCTCTCTCTAAAAAGCATTGTAATATTCCATAAAAAATCAAAGCCTTTCCCCTCGTTTTCATCTCTGTATTGCTTCTCTTCGATCATCTCTCTCTCTGTTCTGCTCTTTGGATTGCTTCTCCCCGTTCCTCAAATGGTATGAACTCTCGACTTTTACGTATATTTCAATTATGTAAAACTCATCGCCATTTCAGAGGGGAAAGAGAAGGAAAAACTGTTTTATTATTTGATTATTCATGATTCATTGTCCCTCTTCTCCTTGCCTGAAAGCCGATTTTGGATGTCGAACATTGTACGGTGATCCTCAATATGTTTAATCTGGTTGATATGAAAATAGATATATCATATATCCATTAATTTTTTTTGCTTTCATTTTACTTGGATTCGTAGAAAGTATTCTGGTTGCTACTGCAAGTTGGTTTCATTCTATTGTCGTTGTGTTTGCTTTATATCAATTTAGCTGTGCTGTTTTAGTTGATATGCTACTGTTTTAATTTGATAATAGAAAAAAATCCTTTTATTTGCTAATGCTAACATTTACTCATTGTTGTACCACAGATGTCTGATTCGCCACTTGAATCAACTGAATTTGAATCAAGTACCACTCCAACCATGGAAAGTACACAAAATCTAGATGTTTTTATTACAGCTGATAACGAAGAAGTAGATGCAGCAGCTACAGCTAGTGTAGAACACGTTGATGCAACCAACAATGAAGAACCAACTCCATTCACTATAAAGAAGAGAAAGAAGACTTCGGGAGTTTGGGAACATTTCTGGATGGTAAAGTTGCATGATAGAACTGACTTGTTTGAATGTAGCCATTGTGGAGAAAAGTTTAAGAAAATGAAATATGGAACCACCACTAATCAGATTGTCCAAAGTTGAAAGTGGTTAATAGAGGTCAATTAAGTTTAAAAGTGCAGCCTGGCAAATCAGATTCTTCATCTATGGTTCGAAATTGGAAGTTTGACAATGCAAAGATGAGAGAGGTTATTTCCCACATGACCATGGTTCATGAATTACCTTTTAATTTTGTGGAGTATGGACTGTTTAATGTGGTAATGAAAGAAGCAAATCCAGGATTTAACAAGATCTCACGTGCTTCTGTTAAACAAGATTGTATTTCCAGTTATGAGATTGAAAAGAAAAGAGTTCAAAAATTGTTGGATTCTGTCAAGCGTGTGAGCATCACTACAGATATGTGGACATCGAATCAAAACATCCATTACATGGTAGTTACATGCCATTTTGTAGATTCTGATTTCAAGCTTCACAAACGCATATTAAGTTTTGTTGACGTGCCTCCACCGTATTCTGGAGTATGTATCTATGATTCACTTTTTTAAGTGTCTAAAGGAGTGGAACATTGAGACAAAGGTGGTGACTTTGACAGTGGACAATGCTAAGACTAATGATGTGGTGGCTAGAAAATTGATGGAAAATTTGAATCTTCAGAAGAAACTTGATGTCGGTGGAAAATTATTTCATGTACGGTGTTGTGCACATATTCTTAATTTGTTAGTTCAAGATGGTCTTGGAGAAATTGAAGAAATAATTCATAATGTTCGTGAGAGTGTGAAACATGTCAATGCCTCTCCGGGTCGATTGCATATTTTTAGTGAACTCGCCAAACAACTTTCAATGCCAAAAAAGCACTTGATTTTAGATGTTAGTACCAGGTGGAATGCTACATATGCTACTGCTTTAGAGTTCAAAGAAGTGTTATTGAATTATGCCGATCGAGAGTCTACATACACTACTTTACTGAGCGAGGAAGACTGGAAAAAAGTTGAAGAGGTTTGCTCATTCTTGGCACTTTTCAATGAAGCTACAAAAATCATTTCAGGTATAACTTGATTTCTTTTTTTATTAATTTTTAATACAAAGAATTTACTACTAATTATTATTTTAATATTATAGGTTCCGAATATCCTACATCCAATTTATTTCTTAGCGAATTGTTTGGGATAAAACAAGCATTGGATGCAGTAGTTTTAGGAGGAAGTGATTACATGGTAGCTATGGCTATGAAGATGAAGAAAAAATTTGACAAGTATTGGGGTACTTGTAACTTGTTAATTTCAATTGGTGTCATTTTAGATCCCAGGTATAAATTTAAGTTGTTTGAATTTTATTTTAATGAATTTATTTGAGTTCTAATTGATGTCATTCTCTTTATCAGGTATAAAATGAAATTGCTTGAGTTTTCTTTCCATACTAGTTATTCAAATGATGAGGCTTCGAGAGAAATGCAAATAGTTCGATGTATTTTATATGAGTTGTACCAAGAATATGTTGAGGCTCATAAAGCAGCAAATATTGTTTCATCTACTGATGGGAGTCAAAGTGTTAGTATTGGTGGTACTTCTAAGAGTAGTGTTAGCTCCTTATTCAGTCAGTTTGGTAAAGGTATTAAAACTGACACAGCTAAATATGACCAACATATTAGAAGTGTCGATACTTTTACATTTGTCAAGTCAGAATTGGACACTTATTTGGAGGAAGGAGTTTTAATTGGTGAGTCTGGTGTATATTTTGATGCCTTGGGATGGTGGAAGGAGAACAATCTTAAATTTAACATTTTGTCAAAAATGGCTGCTGACATATTGGCAATTCCGGTCACTACTGTTGCTTCTGAATCTGCTTTCAGTGCTGGTGGGAGGGTTATTGATCCGCATCGATCCTCTTTAGGAACTAAGATGGTAGATATGCTTGTTTGTGGAGCTGATTGGTATCGTCAATACTATGGGTTGGAGAAAAATAAAAACAAGGTATTTTTATGTTTTAAGTTTTATTGAATTTGGTTTTACAATGACTAATATATTTTTGGTTTTTTGATTTGTTGTAGCAAAACGAAGATATCATACGCGTTGAGCTTCCTTGAAAATGAGGATGAATGAATTGGTATAACCTCGCTAATTTAGTATATTTTTCATCTTTTGTTATAACTCCTTTAATTTAATATAATTTTATTTGTTTGATTTTGATCAGGATGGATGATGAATTAACGACTGATCATGAATGCAAGTTGAATATGTTACGAATATTATTTGAAGTTATTTGTACTTCAAGAAGATTGATCGAAATATTTGATATCTTCAATCATTTCATCAGTGTTAATCAGCTCTTACGCTATTATCACTGTAGATTTGGTTGATTTGCATTGTCGACTATTTTTCATGAAAGAACAATGGAAGGTAGGGTCTCCAACGTTTATGTTCGTTTATGTTCGTGTTCGTTTATATTCGTGTTTATTTATGTTCGTGTTAGTTTATGTTCGTTTATTTATTAAATGAACGAACATGAACAAGCTATATTTCTTAATGAACGAACATGAACAAAAAAAAAATTGTTCGTTTATGTTCGTGTTCGTTTATGTTCGCTTATTTATTAAATGAACGAACATGAACATACCTCCGTTCGTGTGCGTTCGATTCGTTTACAGGCCTACATGGACATGTGACTCCTCCTTGTAGACGGAAGAATTTGTGGAAGGCGCACTCAACTCGTTTCGTTTTCTTTCTTAGTTTGGGTATTCACTTTTGAAAAGTAACGTTGCTTTAATAATCATTAACGTTGTTGACTTACTACTTCTTTTATTCTCATTGGTCCACATACACTCCAACTTTGTTCACGTGTATTTTCTCTCTTCTTTATATATATTTCTTAACTTTTGCAAATCCTTTATATACAATCAAAACAATGTACTATATACTATGCATCAATTGCTTTTTTTTTATTAGGAATTTTGATTGAATTATTTGTTTTTGTTTTTGTTTTTGTTTTTTTTTTTTTGAATATTTAGATTCGAACCACTTTATGCATAAATTATATATAAGCTCTTTGATGGAAATCTTCTTCATTCAAGTTCTTGCCGTTGAGACCCTTGTGGTCCAAAAATGAGATCTGCAACTTATGTATTCATGGATTGGATTGAGTTAAATTTTTGGTCTATTTAAACTTGATTTTAATATTATATCATCATCTTATATTTGATCTGATCCAAATTTCAAGAAATTCTATGAATGTTGGATAAAAATATGTCCTTGCCTAATATCAATATAAAAATTATAATGTTTATTCGATAAAATATGAATTTGATTAAAAGAAAACTATAGAGAGTGTATTACAATAATTATCTCTAAATATAAAAAGGATAATTATACATCTCATCGCATCAAATGTTTTATGGCTAAAGTATACGAAATGTTACTAAATTATATTTTAATGATCATTAAATTATTATAAAATAATAATTGCAATGTGTAATATTTAATAATTATTTTAATATAATCTAATAACTTGTAATACAAAACTTTATAATGTCAATTACGATAGCCATTACATCCACAAAAAGAACAAAGGAAATGGCTTTTAAGTAGATTTGTAAGGTATGGCTAATAAAAAAACTAGTGCCGCCTAAGGCACCGAGGACATAAGCATATTGCTGAACCTCGTTAAAATTCTTATGTTCTTTCTGTTTTCTTTACCCGATTATTCAACAATTGGTATCAAATGTCAGGAGCCAAATTTGAAGTTGCGAAATTCGATGGTCAGGGTAACTTCGGATTATGGCAAACAAGGGTGAAGGATCTGTTGGCGCAGCAAGAGATCATGAAGGCTTTGCGACCTACAAAGTTGGCGTCAATGGAGGAGGAAGATTAGGAAGAATTGCAGCAGCGAGCGGCAGGAACCATACGATTATGTTTGGCGGACGAGGTCATGTCTCACGTCATGCATCTGTCGTTTCCAGATGAAAATTGGAAGAAGTTGGAAAGTCAGTTGATGTCCAAATCCTTAACGACTAAATTGTATCTAAAACAGCGGCTGTATGGAATGAAGATGCAGGATGATCATGATTTGGCGCAACACGAGAATGACTTCAATCAAATCGTTTCTGATTTGGCTCGGCTTGATGTGAAAATTGAAGATGAAGACAAAGAAATGATTCTGTTGTGTTCGTTGCCTCCCTCTTACGAACACATGGTGACTACTCTTACATATGGGAAAGAGACTATCAAAGTTGAGGAGATTATTGCAGCCTTTTTGGCTCACAACCAGCGGAAGCAGAATGCAGGGGAAAGCTCTCAAGCTGATAGCTTATATGTCAAGGGTAATCAAGACCGTGGACGGAAGCCAGAGAAGGCAGGGTCTGAGAAGCGGAATTTCATATCCAAATCTAGGGATAAGAAGGTAACTCACTGTTACAAGTGCAAGGAGGCGGGACATATGAAGCGAGACTGTCCGAAGTTGAAAAAGCAGACTAATGAGAAGCGTGATGACTCATCCAAGTCTGTGAATGTGGTCGAGGATGACAATTCTAATTGCAGTGAGGGTGATATGCTCTCTATTTCAACGACTCAATTAATGGATGCTTGGATTCTTGATTCTGGATGTTCTTATCACATCTCGCCAAATAGGGAATGGTTTTCGACATATAGGTCAGTTAATTCTGGTTCTGTTTATTTGGGTGATGATCTATGTTGCAATATTGATGGTATTGGTGATGTCAGAATTAAGATGTATGATGGTTATGTTCGGACGTTGTGTGGTGTTCGGCATATCCTAGATTTGAAGAAGAATTTGATTTCTTTGGGCACTTTGCACAAGAATGGTTTTATCCCTAAGACTGATGAGGATAGGGAAACCATTCGGATTGTTAAAGGAGCTTTGACTGTGATAAAAGAAAAGATGACTGCAGGGAATATTTACAGATTGTTAGAGAGTATCGTTGTAAGTGGAGTTCATTCTGTTGAGTCTTGTGATGATACTACCAAACTGTGGCATATGCGTCTTGCTCATCTTAGTGAACGTTGTATGGCTGAAGTACATGTCTAAACCTGGTAAGCAACATTGGGAAGCAGTCAAGTGGATCTTTAGGTACTTAAAGGGTACTGTGGGACATGGAATTGTTTTTGGTAGTCAGCAGGATAATCAATTGGTTGTAGGATATGTGGATTCAGACTATGCGGGTGACTTAGATAATAGAATATCTACGACAGGGTATGTCTTTACTCTTGGTGGAGGGCCTATTTGTTGGAAGTATATTGTTCAATATGTTGTGCCATTATCTACAACTGAAGCTGAATACATGGCAGTGGCTGAAGCTGTAAAAGAAGCTTTATGACTTACTGGTTTAGTGAAGGAGTTGGGTGTTCAGCAAGGTGGAGTTCATTTGCTCTGTGACAATCAAAGTACTATTCACTTGGCTAAGAATCAAGTATATCGTGCTAGAACTAAGCATATTGATGTAAGGTTTCACAAGATCAGAGAGTTGGTTGCATCTGGAGAGATTTTGTTTCAGAAGGTACATACTGATGAGAATGCCGCTGATATGTTCACCAAGCCAGTTACGACAGACAGGGTTATTTTTGTAAATATGTACCAGGGTTTATTTATTATAAAATGAGATGTAACCAAAACATATGAGATATTGAATGAAAACTAACGCCGCCTAAGGTACCGAGGACGTAAGCATATTGTTGAACCTCGTTAAAATTCTTGTGTTCTTTCTGTTTTTTTACTCGATTATTCAACAAGATTTTATTCCTTTGTGTCGTATTCTTTTGGTTGAATTTGCATTTTGTGTGAAAAGAAGAGATTTCAATAGTCCAAACGGAGGAGATTGTATCAGCTACACAGCTTTAATATCTTGGTCTCCTAATTTCAACATTTCTTCTTTCAGCCCCTCAATCATGTTAAAAATTGAGATTCAATCCCTGTACATTAATTTGAGATATTTGCTCCTTGTATTTTTATAACTTTTAGTTGTTGTCAAAGATATAGTCTTCGGTTGTGGTATTAGAATAACGTAAAATTCCAATCACCTAAGAAAAGATTTACATTTTGTGGAATGTTTAATATTGTTTCAAAAATAAATTCATATCAATATTAAAATTCCAATCACCATTTTAAACTTTAGCCGGCTACGGGATCTGTTGAGCAACAAATTTGGTCAATTTTTACCAAACTAAAGGTATCAATATTAAAAATTGAGATCAAATATTGACAAATTAAAAGATAGATTAAATCACGAGTTTTAACATAGTAAAAGGACCAAAACTATAATTACAAGAATTTCTATGGTCTCGCCATTCTAGCCTGAGTAAAACCCAATCAATTAGAAGCAAAATTCCAGTTTAAAATAGCTTTCATCGAAAAAATAAAATTCAAAAAGTCGTATGCTTTGATCAGTGCTGTGCAAGTCGTACAGACAGAGGAAAAAAAACAAAAGAACAAAGGGTGAATTTATGTTTTCGGTCCCTCTTCTACACTAAAACCTAAAATTCAATCTTAATTTTAACATAATTTGATCTTCACATTTACATAATATTATTATTAGTCCAAACTATTTTACATGAAAATTCTGAAAAATCCACAACAACAACCAACAATATTATTTCAGTAAGAGAATAAAACTTACTAATTGAATTTAAAAGTATTAATTAGAATCAAATACTATAGCGTATTATGATTTAAAAAATTAATTTCATGATATAACAATCGATGATTAGATTTCAACCGAAATGGACCAAATCATGATTTGCAACTCAAAAGGCTTATCCCATTAATTCAGAGTTAGAAGTCTAAAATCGGCTACATTTCTTGAGAAGATGCTGTAAGGAGGAAAAGTGAAGGCGGTTTTCTTGTTTCTTCTACATTCTCAAGAGCAGTTACAGAACAAAGTCTCCCAAATCTGGGTAAAAACCTCAATGATAATCCTATGATGGTGATGAGAGTTCAACGACAGAAAGCACTGCAACAGCTGTTCCAGATCCTCCGCGCCAAACATCTGTCTCTCGACGATCATCTCCACCATTGATGTCCGAAAATCATTGTACGGATTACTCGAACGTTTCACCACAGCAAAGCTGTCTTTCACTTTGCTCTCATTATCATTATCGACTCCTTCCAATGGTAAAAAAACCATATCGCGGCTACGATTCTTGGCCCTTCTCTGGCGAGCATTGTCATACGTTTTCCGGTTAGAACGTCGTTTGTGGTGCCGGCCAGTGAAGGGCTCGGATGAATCAGACGAGAGGTTCCGAGAAGAGAAAAGAGTCTCGGTTTCATCTTCGCTGCTAAGCCACCACCACCCACTGCTGCGATTACTGTAATAATTATTAGCACTTTCTTGAGAAGATGAGCTGAAAAACGTGGCACTGGTCGACGTGTTCTTGCTTCTGAGATGAACCCTTTTGTTTTTCTTCTTCGTTCTGTGTCTCTCCATGCTTTTTTTCTTCTCATAGAACCCAAAGTCTTTACAATCGGAAAAAATATTCAATGGCGACAAAGGGTTATTACCGGTAGGGAATTTCCGGCCATCAAAACCAGGGGCTGAACCTGAAAAAACAAAAGGAGGGTAATGAGAAAACACTTTAAGACTTGGGATAGTTTCTCTCGGTGTGACCATGACACACTCACGGTTAATGGTGCTTTGGGTTGATTCATGACATTTGGGTTTACAGATGGAAGGGAAAGGTCGAGCCTTTGGTGGCGACGCTGATGGTGAAGGGTTGAACATTGGGGCATTGTTATGGGCTTGAGGTGTGAAAACGGGTTTTTCGATGACATCGGAGACTTTCCGGGTCCGGCAGGATCCGAATGAGGGTCGGAACATGCGAGAGATTCGTAGTTTGAATCGATTTTCCATTTTTGGAGAGTAAAAATGGAATGAGAGAAACTTTGTGGGTTTTTTGTTTTTGAAAGAAGAGAGTGGCGGTATATATGAACAAAATAAGACATATAATAAATGCATGTGAAAGCTTAGGGAAGAAGACTTCTCTTTGGATTAATTAATAATTAGTTATATACAATATGTTGAATGTTACACCCGTCAACTTATTTTATACGTTTAATATTTTTCATATACAAATCTATATATATTTTTAATACTCTAAAATAATTATAAAATAATTGTATTTATTCAAAATAAATTAATTATTTATAATACACATATATTACAAACATAATTGTTTAAATTTAGAATTTATAAAAAATAATACTCCTTATAATCGACTTCCTCGCCCATGTAGGGCGTTGGAAAAAAAAATTCCCATATAGGGTTCTACCCAAATTATTTCTTGAACTGAGATGTTTGCTACAGTGACCTCATTGGTCGCCAAGTGCTCCTTGCGACAAAGCCTCCTCTGTTGCAGTAACTCTTCTATCTTCCCTCGCTGTTGCAGCTCCATAGGTCGCCAAATGCTCCATAGGTCGTCGTGTGCTCCTGGAGACCTATGGAAGTCGCCATGTGCTCCTGGAGACCTATGATAGTCACTGTAATAATCACTCTACTTAAGCAAATAATATTCGACGGCACTATGTGAAGAATTTTTTTTTCATTGCATTATTCAAACACTTTTACCCCTTATAATCATTGAAATCAATCTATAAATCATATATAATATATACAAATTTCTTCCCGCTGGACATATAGCTATCTATTGAATACTTTTATAAATATATTTTAAATAAATTGACAACAAGGGTAGATGAAATTGAATTTGAAGAAGCTTATAGGTTAGAAAAATTAATTCGGCAGGTAAAAACCCTGATTTGGGAAATTAATTTCAGGTATGGTATGATTAAGATTATAGTAATTATCAAACCAAACCAACCATATTTTACTGTGGGAGAGGAATATGTACCAAACCATTAAGCAAAATTAATTAAATGGAAAAGTACATTAAAGGTCACAAAACTATGTTTAAATGATTATTTCGGTCATTAGATGTTCAAGAATTATAATATGATTGTCAATTTTATCAAACTATTACTCAATGATCACTATAACAATATAATAAGTGTACAATTGTTTATACACTTAATAATTGTTTATATTTTTTAAAATTTTAATGAATAAAATGACCATTTAAATATAACAATAACACCTGAATTTTATATTTATCAAATTATTTGGCTCATTTGAATTCAATTCTACTTTAAAAAATTAATTTTATAATTTTCTTAACAATAACACCTGAATTTTATTAATAAAAATAATCAAAATTATAACCCACTTAAATATAAATAAAAAAAATAAGGATAATAGTAAAAAAAACTCATATACTATAATTATTGAATGGGTAAACTACTCAAATAGTCACTAATATTTGGGTAAGTTTTCATTTTCACCATTGATGTTTCAAAAGTCACAAATCGGTCACTAACGTTATTGTTTGTTACAAATTGATCACTCGACGTTAACAACAGTTAACAGACGTGACGGAAAACAAACTTTGATTGTTAGCTGCTTACATAGATGGTTGACCGCCATAGTGGAGAACTTTTGGGACCCCTTTGATCGGTGTTTTACCAAATATTTAATAACAATTTAATTAAACAATAAAATAACAGGGGGAAATCAAGGGAAATCTTTAAACCCTTTGTTCTTCCATTCTTCACTTCTTCCTTCACGAGAGAAGCAATTTCAGATAGTTTCAAAGAGGGTTTGAGAGAAATAAGTGGAAACGTGAGGAAACAAAGAGAGAAAAACATAGAAAGTTAGTGATTAAGAGAAAAAACGAGCAATACTTGGATTTAAGAGCGGTTTGAAGTGATTGGGTTTGAGAAAAATTTTAGGGTTCGAAGTAAAGATGGTACTTACATGGAGGCTATGGCAAAAGGATGATAACGCAATGCTTTACGGTAAGCTTCCTTTTTGAGTTTGAGAGAAAAGGTAAAAACCTAGGTTTTTGACAGAAAACTAAATGGGTTTTCTTTGAAATAATGTTGTTGATTATTTTATTATATGTTTACAACTTTACATGTGGTAATTCAACATTTAACTGTTAGGTTTTTCACATGTATGTTGATTTGAAACGGTTTTCTATAGTTTTCTTGATATAATAGGTTAATGAAATATTGATATGAAATCATTTTTTGAAATAATGTTGTTGATTCTTTTGTTATATGTTTACAAATTTATAACTTTACTTGCAATGTTTTTTGTTTATATGATCACTTTTCATGTTGATATTATATGATATGAAATTTTATACAACTTTACTTGCAATGTTTTATGTTATATGTTATATGATTTCTATTGAAATGTATATATACTTTATATGACTACTTTATATCCATTGATGTATACTCATGCATTCTATTTTGAATGTTGCGGGTTTGTGCTATGTTGTAAAGGTTTTGACATGTGGGATATGTTGAATGTTGACTTTTGTGAAATATGTGGGATTTATTGACTTTGTGGTTTTGATATGTTTGTATGTTGAATGTTATGTTGTTGTAGATTATGCAGTTTAATAAAATATTCTGAATGTTGTAATGTTGTGATCCCTACATGTTTGAAAAATAATGGTTAATATTGTGTTCTTATGGACCACAAGGATTTGATAAATTATACTGACTTCATGAGTTTAAATGTGTATATGTGTGATATGTTTGTAACTATAAATATTCGGAATGTTGTATTGTTGCAAGCACTACATGTTTACATGTTGAATATTATAATGTTATGGGCCATATGTTCATCTGATAAAATATTATGTACGGGCCCTATATGTTTGCATGTTGAATATTATAATGCTATGGACCATATGTTCATCTGATAAAATATTATGTAATGTTATGGGTCCTACTATGTTGCATATTCAATTTAAGAATACAATGTAAACATAAAATTTAAACACTTTATTAAATTCAAAAATCTTGCTACAGGTCCTGAAGATGAAAAAAATTATGTTGTGTGTCACTATGGTGGATCCTTTGTACATTCACCTAGACTAAAGTTCACTGGTAACAAGATTGCTTATTTTGACTTATGTGATTGTGACACAATTTCTTTGCATGACTTTTATGAAATGATGGAGCAAATATTAGTCCCTACTTCTTTACAATTATACTGGTTAGTGCCAAATGCAAAATTAACCGAGTCTTCCATCATGCCTTTATCAAGTGATTCTGATGTAATGAAATGGTACAGAGTTTACCTAGGAATAGATATATTCATATATATGCACAAGTTAAAGGTATAACTGAAAGTGGTAGTTCTGAAAGTGATGGTGTAGAAATAAATACTACTGGAATGTGTAGTGTTGAAAGGGATAGTGAGGAACACAAGTCTAGTGATAAAGATGTTAGAGGGATAGAAGATAAGTTTGATTTTGAAGAAGTTGTGGTAGAAGATGAAAACAATGGATCTGATAATCATATTCTGATTTTGTGGAAATTGATGGTGAAACTTCTTTTGATGAGGAGAAGAATTTACCTAATATGGTAGAGAATGATGTGATAAATATTTTAGGGGACATGGGTAGGCATGAGTTTAACAATAGATATGATGAAATGTTTGACTCTAGTTATGTTAATTCAGGGGAATTAAACAGTGACAAAGAATTTGACTCAGATGCTCCTCCTACCTTTCCTGAATTTAACAAAGAGATTACTATAGAAAACCCTAAATTTCAAAACGGTATATTGTTTGTAGTAAAGAGATTTTAAAGGAGGCAGTTAGACAATATGGGAGGGTGAATAGAACTGTTGTCTTGTTTAAGGTTAATGACAAAAAGATATTACAAGCAATTTGTAGGAAAGGTTGTCCATGGAAATTATGGGCTTCCTCATTGTGCTGTGATGATTTTGATTCAAACACTTGGCAGATCAAGACTTACGAGTCTGAACAAACTTGTGCTAAGTTGTTGAAAAATAAGAATGTCACTTATATGTTCATCAGGATCAGATATATTTAGAAATTCATATCTGATATGAATTATTCTTTGACTTCCCTCAAACAAGATATGATGAATGACTATGGGACATATTGTTCTTTGACTAAATGTGGAAGGGCTAGAGACCATGCCTTAGAAATGATTCAAGATAAATTGAAAGAACAATATGGAAATATATATGAATATTTACTTGAATTAAGGAATTAAAATGATATAACTACAACTATTTGCAAATTAGATAATAGATTATTTCAAATAATGTATGTTTGTCTTCAAGCTTGCAAAGAGGGGTTCAAGGCAGGTTGCAGAAGGATTGTCAACCTTGATGGCTGCTTCTTGAAGGGTTATTATGTTGGTTACTTACATGCAACAGTTGGTATCGATGCTAATGGTAGAATCTATCCCATAGCATATGCTATTGTGGAGAGTGAGAACCAGTATTCATGGTTATAGTTTTTGGAAATTCTCGGAAGAGACTTGGACATTGAAAACTCATATGGATGGTGTTTTATGTCTGTAACACCCATTTCTCGTATACGATTCCGTACACAAGTCACTGGTGTCACATGACTTTGAAAACATATCCTTATTTGTAAACCCATAAAATTTTGTTTATAAAAATAAAACATTTTAATATAATAACAGTAAAATATTCATTAACTTTCAGTAGTTAAAATAATCTTAAATTATAACAATTTACAAACATAATAAGTCAAATACAATCCAAAGCATTTTCATAAATCCAATACATGCCATCTAATTATCAAAAGTAGACATGATTGTCCTATAGTTACTGATGAGGCAACATTTGATTAATGATATCCGCGGCATTTCTTACTTCGCTAGTCTTTGTTATTTCCTACATGTGAAATCAACACACGCTAAGTATTTACTTAGTGAGGCATAGTAATACAAAATGAAGTGTACTTAAATATAAACATATCATAAAATGGCTTGGAAAACCAAGCTTCATTCACATAATCGGATAAACTATA